ACATCCCGAATTATACTTATCATCAGGTTTGTACTTACATAAGCAAGACGACGGGTGTCACATGTGCAGCCGGATCTGCTTCCTCTTTCGGAGCACCTGATATCACCCCCAGTTTTTGGTGGGGTTTCTGTTGCTCAGTGTTAAGTTTTTTGTGTTGTGTTTTGTGTACTGTTCTTTGTATGTTTGTCTTTTTCATTTTTGGCCTTGGCGTTGTCAGTCTATTTTCGACTTATGAGTTTGAAAGTCTCTTTTGTATCTTTCGCATATATATTGTACATATATTTTACTGAATAATCTGCATTTTTATTCACACTGATGTCTGATTTTTATAAACATAGAAGACTTTTTGAAAAGTGATATCATGAAACTAGAACATTTTAATAGCAATCCAAAATTACTGCCTCTAACCTTTCAAATCATTTATAACAATGACAGTACGTATATGAATTTTAGGCAATATTTTGATACTAGCCATCAGGTTAAATTCAGATACGTGTATCAACATTTTTAATAGATTATAAGTATGCTTTATTTGATCACTGTTCACTTGCGAATTAATAGGAATTTTTTAATCAACTAAATCTTTTGTTTTCAATTTGGTGCCTTCGAAGCGTTTCTTTTTTATATACCTTCATCGGGAACGCTAAAACAAAAATAATAACATTATAACTTTTTATATTCCAATTCAAGGACTAAACAGTGCTCGTTTGATTCCTATTCGTTTCAAGTCATACATTATCAGCAGTTCACAGTCAACAACTTTTTATTAGCGGAAAAATAACGTTTTAAAATTTGCCATGAGGTCTGCAATTATTTTAAGTTAAAAGTATTGATACAACTGAGCGTTCATCACGGATACAGAGAACCCATTTTTTTTTAATGACTGTACTTGTGTTATGTTTTTGCAAATAATTAACAAGTCGTATTATTTGAGACTGAAAATAAAAAAAAAATATGTAAAAAAAATATAGATTTCAGAATGGAAACTGGGACATTTATATGTTTTTTCATAACCAAAAACCCAACATGCCCAAGAATTATATAGTTAATTGCATATTTACTACTCCAAGTGTCCTTAATCAGTTAATAATCGATAACCAATTGAAAAAATGGGGAACCTTTAAACAAAATTTACCGGAAATCTAAAAGTTGTACTATTCAATGTATGTTTTCAAAAAATCACAAAAAAATTTAAAACATAGCATCATATTCTATGGGTTACTTCCTTTTATTACAATTATCAAATAAACGTTTCCCTTTACATCAGCCACTTCAATTTTGCACAACGACATCGCGGAAAAATTGTTTTGCCTTATTGTTTTAATTTCCTTGTAAATTTAACCTTGAAACATGTAAGTTCTATTTGTTTTAGTCTGCTAATGATATTCTATTTTGTTACCTTTTCAAAATACACATTTATACATATATATGTTGTGTAAAAGTTATCATTTTGTACAACAAAAATTGTACAAAATATAATTTGTATTTTGACTTAGTACAAAAAAGTACTTGTACAAATTACAATTTGTACACAATTTGACTAAAATGCACTTATAATAAAATGTATAATTTGTACAATAATTTATAATATGGATTATGTTATAAAAAAGAATTGATACACACTATAGAATTTTTATTAAATGACCACACACTAAACCTTATTTACAAAATACAAAAAAGTTCTGTATCTTTTGTGAGAGCATGCAAGTGAATTATGGCATCAGGAATTGCGCAACATGTAGTACTTTTTACATTTACAGTAAGGAGTGCTGCATTCTCTTTAGCAGCATTTACATGAAAAAAAACCCTGACCACCAGTTTTGAAAGTTTTTTAACTGTTTTACGTAGCAAAAGTTGAAGCTCCGAAACCGTTGCTGCGCAAAAAAAATGTTTCTTTAACTGCTTCAATTTGATTTCTCGACAAATATCCTGTTAAAATTCCTATAGCTGTTTCAATGCGGTACCCAAGTTCTCCAGATTCAGTACTTACGCCTTATGTATTTTGAGGATCAGTTGGGGCACGATCATACTAAGGAATTGGTATAATGACATTATCCCTCACAGGATAAGTGTTCTGTCTATTTCTATTCCGTTTTCATGGTTAGATATTCGGGTTTGTTCTGTTGGCGAGACAGCGCATGCATCCTAGCACTTATGATTGGTATTTCACGTCAGCATCATCCTGATTGTCACTGGGGCCAATTTCTATTACACTATCAGAATTGTCACTGGGGCCAATTTCTATTACACATTCAGAATTATCACTGGGGCCAATTTGTGTTATACTATCAGATTTGTCACTTCGGCAATTTCTATTGTACTATCAGAATTAACTGAATATAAAAATTCTTAAGTGTGTATCAATGCTTTTTTATAACAAAATCCATACTAGTTTCTTGTGTATAATTTGGAGTTTAGTATGACGTCCATTATCACTGAACTAGTATACATATTTGTTTAGGGGCCAGCTGAAGGACGCCTCCGGGTGCGGGAGTTTCTCGCTGCATTGAAGACCCATTGGTGGCCTTTGGCTGTTGTCTGCTCTATGGTCAGGTTTTTGTCTCTTTGACACATTCCCCATTTCAATTCTCAATTTTATTAATTATTGTACAAGTTATAATTGAATTTTAGTCAAATTTTGTACAAATTGTAATTTGTACAAGCACTTTTTGTTCAAATTACAATTTGTACAAAGTCAAAATACAAATTATGATTTTTTGAACTTGAAAAACTCTTGAAAATATTTTTCCGGTGTCTTAAAATAAAATAAGGAGATGTGGTATAATTGCCAATGAGAGAACCATCCACCAAAGTTCAAATGAAATGAATGTTACATGTAGCAATTATAGGCAACCGTACAGCCTTCAACAACGACAAAAAAAAATACCGTATAGTCGGCTAAGAAAGGCCCCGACATGAAAAAATATGAACTAATCCAATTGAGAAAACTAATGGTATAATTCATAATAATACAATTTACGAAAAACAAATATGACAGACATGAACCAACGACAACCACTGAACTATTCAAAGTTGGTGAAGTTGAAATTATCCCTTCGTAAATTATACGGACGACATCACGAGTTAGTTGACCGTCATGAAATATCTGTGTCACAGATGACGACGGATATGTTCCTATTGTATAACCTAACATCCCGAATTATACTTATCATCGGGTTTGTACTTACATAAACAAGACGACGGGTGTCACATGTGCAGTCGGATCTGCTTCCCCTTCCGGAGCACCTGATATCACCCCCAGTTTTTGGTGGGGTTTCTGTTGCTCAGTGTTAAGTTTTTTGTGTTGTGTTTTGTGTACTGTTGTTTGTATGTTTGTCTTTTTCATTTTTGGCCTTGGCGTTGTCAGTCTATTTTCGACTTATGAGTTTGAAAGTCCCTTTTGTATCTTTCGCATATATATTGTACATATATTTTACTGAATAATCTGCATTTTTATTCACACTGATGTCTGATTTTTATATACATAGAAGACTTTTGGAAAAGTGATATCATGAAACTAGAACATTTTAATAGCAATCCAAAAATTACTGCCTCTCACCTTTCAAATCATTTATAACAATAACAGTACGTATATGAATTTTAGGCAATATTTTGATACTAGCCATCAGGTTAAATTCAGATATCAACATGTTTAATAGATTATAAGTATGCTTTATTTGATCACTGTACACTTTGATGACTTGATCATGTTGACTGCATTCAGATTATTCCCTGTTTTAGATACATGTAGTGTTTTTACATTTTGGTGTTGTCTTCAGTGGACTGTTTTTTTGTGTTTGACATTTTTTTCTGGTAATGGTATTATCTTAATTCATTTGAATCATGGTTTGGGATTGTCCCCTAGGTATCATTTGACTTTAAAAACAGTTATTGCAGTAATGGGATCTTGTAAACAAATTATAGCACATAAAACATTTTAATGTGAAAAAAGCGATTTTACTCTTTGGATAAAGTTTACCGGGCCTTCTTAACAAAATGTTTTTGATTTGAATTTTCGTCCTCATATATACTACTTATATTTTTTAAGTTATTTATGGAGTCTAGTTAAAATTATTGCGAATTAATAGGAATTTTTTAATCAACTAAATCTTTTGTTTTCAATTTGGTGCGTTTCTTTTTTATATACCTTCATCGGGAACGCTAAAACAAAAATAATAACAGCAAATGATGTATAACTACCTTTTAATGTGCGGGGCTTTATAACCAATATTATAAACATCTCATTGGAGGTAAACTTTTTTGTCAAGATAGTTGGGACCTTATTCTCTTTATAATTTATAAATGCATCAACAGAGAATTAAAGAAAGGTAAGATACAGAATGAAAACCAATGTAACTGATCATTAATTGATTTTGTTATTCATTTGTGCATTTCTTTCCTGGTTGGCATCACATAAATAAGACTTACGTATATAAATGTTTATTATGAAATTTCATTTCAAACAATAAGAAAAGTCAAAAGATTTTTAAAAACAGTCTGACAGTTACAATGCATATTGAAATATCACAGTTTCATCCCCTTAATTACCACCAAAAACACTTGGCCGCATATAGTTTTTTCTTTAATGTTTTCACATTCTTAACAATTGTCTTTTAATCTTATATTAACTTCATATAATGTTTTAACGGAAGAAATGCTAAAAGATGTGTTTGCGCAGATGGCTGTATTCTAGGCAACTGTATGAGTTGTTATGATTGATATTTGGTTAAAAGTAAGCATAATTATGGGAAATTACTGATGTCAAAAACTGCTTAATTATTTATTAAAGTTTTTTTTTGTTTTGGGTGTAAGCAGCTGAATCACGAACACATATTTTCGTTTTCACTAAGTTTTATCGCTTTTATTAGACGTTTAGGTAAACGGAGCTGTCTAATATATTAAAACAATGCTTTAATTATTTAAAAGTACGTTTGATACATGTAAGTTACTGTTAATCTCTCTTGTTTCCTGGTTTACATACATGATTCTTTTAGGTTTTATAGAGAAGAAAGAATATGCAATCATGCAGATGCCATGGAAAATATGAACTTGGCCGTCTTTGATCTTATATCTTGATTTGACGGAACCGTGCAAATGTTTTACGATCGGGCAAAATAGAAAGTCCAGATGGTGAGCTTTTGAATTCTATATAATTTAGCCGTGTAATAAGTGGCTTCATTTAAAATTGAATTTTATGATTCAAGTCACTCCACTATTTTTTTCATGCCTTTGTACTTATGGATTTGCTAGTAACAACCAGTGGTCAACCAAATGTACAAATATTTTACCTGATGTATATATAAGATATCGGAACATATTTACTTTTATTTCCTATTTGTTTCTATATATGGCACGGTCAAAAGGCAATTTATTTTAGCTGCAATTTCCTTATGCCATTAAATTTAAATGTAGATTTTGTTTTGAAGGACGTTCATGTTTATAAATATTAAAAAACAAGAATGTGTCCATAGTACACGGATGCCCTACTCGCACTATCATTTTCTATGTTCAGTGGACCGTGAGATTGGGGTCAAAACTCTAATTTAGCATTAAAATTAGAAAGATCATATCATAGGGAACATGTGTACTAAGTTTCAAGTTGATTGGACTTTAACGTCATCAAAAACTACCTTGACCAAAAACCTTTAAACAAAAACTTTAACCTGAAGTGGGACAGACGGACGAACGGACGAACGGACGCACAGACCGAAAAACACAATGCCCCTCTTCTATCGTAGGTGGGGCATAAAAATGATGGTAAATTTGGCGTCCTCCTGGCTAAAACTATAATTAGCAGTTTGTTTGTAATGGAGATTTTCTGTCTAGCAAAACTACTCTGGGTTTTCTCTTCTTTTTTTTCATTTAAGTCTTCACCGGCTGTAACTGCTCCGTTTTGCCCCAATTATTTCTTAAATATGTGTAAGTTATATCTGGAATAGTTTATTTTATTATTTAATTTTTTTTTTACCGTTGTTTTTTGGGGTATTTTGTGAGTGTTTTTACTGAAAATAGCTGTTTTCGTGAGATTATTTCAATTTTTTCGCACGTTGAACTATTTGAACTACTAATTCAGTTCAGTTTCTACTAAGAGACTCGATAATGCGAACAGTATTACAACGGATATGTTCAAATTGTTGTAAACAAACACCGCCATCTTTTCTCAATTTTGACATCGTAAAACGAGACTCATTACCGAATTGGTTCTTACCATGAGTTATACGATAAGTATTACTAGTGGAGCATGATATGCTGACCCTTCCGGGCACCTGTTATCACCCCTATTGTAATGGGGTTCGTGTAACTCAGTCTTTAGTTTTCTATGCACAGATTGTGAACTTGTTTGTCTTTTTTGGCAAATACTTTGTAAGTTTCATCCGACTCCTGAATTCGGAATGTCCCTTTGGTATCTTACGCTTATTATTCCACCAGAACTCAAGATGATTTGTCCGTCCAATACTACTACTACTTATCCTTATCACAAATTTAACAATTAATCTTACGTAACGTATAAAAGGCTTATTTAAGCAATCACCTTTAACAAAGTATATGTATTAGTAAATTATGTTTGTAAAAGACAAAGCATAGTGTACAATGTATAGACATATGTCTCCTGTTGTAGAGGGTTTGTCGCCCGCTAGAGGCCCTTTAGTATACTGATCGTTTGCTTTTGAAGCTTTATCATGGACTTGTACCCAACGAACTCTTTTAGCTATAGAATTGATGAAAAAAAATGTTATATTTACCTTAAACGTATGATCATGCTGAACAATTATGTACAATTCAAAGTCTTATAAGACCCATTGGTGGCTTTGGTCTGTATTCCGCTCTTTAGTCGGGTTGTTGTCTCTTTGTCACATTTCCCGTTTCCATTCTCAATTTTATCAATAGTTATTGAAGGTAAATCTTAATTTCGTTCAAACAAATCCAGTTGTTGGATTTTCTTTGTAATCACTTAAAAAAAAATTCCATTTCCCAATTTTAAATTTTCTTCATGAATTTCGGAAATCTACACAAACAACTAACGCTTTAAAAAAAATTATCATTTCTTTCAATTATAAGTTTACTTAAAAGTCTCATGTTATCGACTGCCTTGACAATCATTTAACAACTTTAGTTAACTCTCAATAATGGCCCCATATTATATCTTATAAAGAGAGGAGAAAGACACCAAATGGACATTTAAATTCATAAATCAAAAATAAACAACACCATGTCAACGCCATGGCATAACAAAAATAAATAAAGATGAATAAGAGACCATACGACAAACGACAACATACAAACATGTATACTATACTAACAACTTTCTAGAATCTAGAAGACGCTACATCCGAGTATCTACTTTTATATCTAGAAATTTCAGTGCACAGACAGTTTGTACATTTTGCACAAACAATAAACAAAACAACTGTTACAATGTAACTAAATAATTTAATAACAAATTTGACCCGAAAAGCACTAACACGTTACAATCAAATATTCCAAGCGGCAGAACAAACATAAAGTAATTCTGTCCAATAGTTCTTTAATCAAATGTGACGAACATACTTGTTGAACATACAAACAGACAAAATGATTGCACTATAGCACGTTCTAATAGAGTGAATATGTTTAAAAGTAGTCAGTATTAAATTTACAATATGCATATATATCCTGACATATACGTCTTCATTTCAGTTATTCAAAACGTCCAAAAATATATGATCACCTATTTCAGATTGGTTCATGTAAGAAAATGATGTAAGGAAGTAATATATTTTATGTTCAACTGCGTTCGTTAGAGTTACATCTTCCCGAGATTTATAGTGAAAAAAGTATATCTGGTCGATAAGGAAAACTGTTAATTTGACATTAATTCAAAAACAATACGGTAAGTAAAGTATTGCAAATATTTAATGTTTATGTTATTTTTGTTTACGTATGATTCCCATGAAATAATATATAGATATATGTGTAAATGCACAATGAAACTTGGTAATACAAACAGCACTTTATAAGTTTATTGTATCCGCAGCGTATTTCTGGATGTACCATCATCATAGGTCGTACAAATTCATCCTTGAAATTTAGAAAATGCATTGTAAAAACATAACGGGAAATGTTTGAGAAGTTGAAAAATTCAAAATTAATATGGAAATAATGCAAGTACATGTTTAACATGGGTTGTCACTCTAATTATAGCGGTCAACGAAAATAACATCTAATAACTGTTGTTGGTCCAGTCCAATGTGCTTTTATGCATTACTTTCATCAGGTAAGCTTTAAAATATGAAAATCTTTTAAACGTCAGATCATATGATCGAAATGGGGGCGAAAATAATAGCCAAAACCATCAACGGTCAACTTTCCCTAAGGGAGTTTAAAGCCTAGTTTCTAAATAATTTATAAATTCGTCGACGTTTAATTACAAAAACGTATGTTCTAAATCAAATATATTAGTAATGCAATAAGAAGCAGGAAATACAAATATACAAATACTACAACCCCCGCCCCAACTTGACAAAAATCCAGATGATTTTGTCCGTTTAGTGAATAGATTTGGTTTATCTTTCTATCTATCTTTTTCGTTCTTATTTTCTTTCTTTTTTCTTTATTCCTGTACTGGCTGTATCAAAGGAGAAAACTACGTTATAACTCATTAAAATTGACGTCTGCATATTAGGTTTTACGAAGTTTTACGTATAAAAGCAGGGATAAAATAATTTGACTTCAGTTTTAATTTTGATGTTAACATGTATTTAGACATAGATAAGATCTTGATCTTAAACTTACACAACTGAGCAATTGCATATTATTGAAGAAAAAAAAAGAACTTTTTAGTAAATATTGCAGGTATGAATGCGGCTTTTTTGTCTATTTTCCAGTGGTGCTTGGTGTTTGGGACACTCCCAGGTAGTAAGGATTATTTTTGCAATAGTTTTTCTTATAGTAATATGTATGAATTGAAAAATGATGTCTGAAATTAAATGCAAGATAGTTAATGGAAAATCTACTTGAAGATATAGGCATGATTGTCATTAATACAAAAAAACATTGCTTGACTAAAAAGAAATGACCATGCCAAAAGGATATTCAAAAATTAACGCAGAAATGAACAGAATACACCAGGGCTTGAAAAAGAACAGGATTTTATTCGACAATTAAAAATAGAGCGGTCATCTAGGAATTAAGGTAAAAGTACTTTACCCAAAATAAAATCTCGTAAGTCGATAAAGAAAAGAAAAAGACAAATCAACGGAAAACAATAAGACTACAGAAATTACATGAACCTCAAAAGAGAAATAACCTATGTTCTATAACGATCAAACAAATCATGATTACATCCGTTTAACCTTAAAAAGGATGTCTTCAACGCTACCAATAGAAACCATTGGTTTAGCATATTACTTGGAAGCAGGAACTAATTAAATGTAACCACAACTTTCAACAGTTTATGATAAGAAAAGAAATTTACAGGAGTCTCCACAAGATGACACACTGTAAATCGTACAAGGTCTATCAATGTTTTAATATCATTTTTGATTTGAATGATTAATGGTCGGATTATTTAATCATAATACTCTAGTGCAGACAAGTTACTTTTTTAAAAAGTAAAATATTGTTTTAACGGAGAATCATATTGCTTAAATCATAAACCACCTTTCACACAGCAACTGTAATCTCATTTCTGGAACTCTTACACAAAATTTAAATATAGGTCAAAGTTCGATATCGACTGTTGTATGTATCTTGATTTAAGAGTAAACTGCTGTTCAAAATTATAAACATCTTTATATACATTTGAGGCATCTTAAAACATACATAATTTTGAAAAATATTTTGAAACGTACAATATGAAAGTGTATCTTTATTTTGTTCTTATAAATGGTTACCTTTTTTCCTAGGATTTCAAATGAATGAGATAGAGACCATTTATGCTAGCACTGGGTCAGATGTGAAAATAAAATGTCCAAACGAAAAAGTTACTATATGGCAATATTCCGATTCTAAAGATGTTCTTGCTGAGTGCAGAAATGGACAAAACAGTGTTAATCTAAATCTAAATGTATCTGACAGATTAAATGTTACTTCTGATTGTAAACTACTAATACATAATCTTACAATAGACGATCTCGGTACATATTTATGCGTGGCGATTAATGACGTCTCCTATGCAATACACGTTAATCTTCGTAGTAAGTAATTTTCCTTATCAAATATTTTTAAATGAGGTTATTTCATTCTTTCAATATAAATCACATGCTATTCAGATTTGTTAAGAAAGTAAATATAGTGCTAATATTATATAGATTTTACCAATAATGGTAGCAAGTAGTTTTTATAAGAATCGTTTCAAATTTGCATACGAAGTTACCTTATGTCGTCTGCATTTTCATAGCAAAATGCATTTAAAGTGGCGATTGTATATAGATACATTATATACAATTAAATCATTTTCAACCCCCTCCATTTTTCTCGCTGTGTTGAGGAGCCATTGGTGACCTTGGGCTGTTTTCTGCTATTTGCTCGGGTTGTTGTCTCTTTGATACATTGCCCGTTTTCATTCTCACTTTTAATAAAAAAAGGAATTTTCTTAACTAATCAAAATTGCAAAACACGTATCGTTTAATAAAAAACACAAAACAAGGAAGACAACTCAGGAACATTGCAATGTAGACACATTAAACGCTGTTCTTATGAATTGATCTATACTCGAACAGTATATTATCTTTTTTACAAACTTACGATGATCGATGTGTATGGTATAATTTCATGTTGATAATATCCCTTTTAACTCAGAACTTAAGGTAGATGGCGCAAACAACTTAGGCGTTTTACACGGAACTGAAGGAGAAAATATAACCTTGGCCTGCACTGTTATAGGGTTTCTACCAGGTGATACATTACATTGGATAACAGAAAAAAAATTACTGGCCTCAGGAAACACTCAATCATTGGAATATGTGCTCCAGGCCCATCGATCTTACAATTTGAAAGAGTTTACATGTATAACGGAAAACAGCAAAGAAACTTATCCACTTGAAGCCGGTGTACAGTTAAATCTTTTTTGTGAGTATCTGACTTATAATATTACTTTTAAAGAACAGTTATTTACGTGTACCGCCATTATCAATGTAATTATTTTTTCGTCAATTTCAATATCATGATTTTCTAATTAAATACTGTTAATTTTGAAATAAAACAAGTATCTTATAAGTTGTAAATCCCCAGTTTTTGGTGGGGTTCGTGTTGCTCAGTCTTTAGTTTTTCTATGTTATGTTTTGTGTACTATTTTTTGTCTGTTTGTCTTTTTCTTTTTAGCCATGGCGTTGTCAGTTTATTTTCGGCTTGTGAGTTTGAATGTCCCTTTGGTATCTTTCGCCCCTCTTCTACAGTTTTATGAAAAACACATATCAAGGGTAAGCCTAATATATTGTGAAATCCGAAGTCGTGCTGTAAAATTGTTCAAACGCATATTTTTACAGGGATCTCATGGTGATTTATGGAACTGATGTTATTTTAATCTAGCGTCACTGATGAGTGTTTTATAAAAAAACGCGCATTTGGCGTATAAAATAGTAATCGTGGTATCTATGAGTTTATTTACAGCCACTGGGTCATTGACACTGTTGTTGGAGGTTTCTTCCCTGAGGGTATCACCATCCAAGTAGTCAAAACTTCTTCGTCGACATGAAATATCAATGACATGGTCATAATTATAAAAAAATTGTTAACAAATCTTAAACATTTTTGAAAAACTAAGGATTTTTCATCGATGAATAGATGACCTAAGCCGTATTTTGCAAAACCTATTGGAATTTCAGGTCCTCAATGGTCTTCAACTTTGTACTTTATTTGTCCTTTTAACTTGATTGATTCGTAAGTCATAGACGAATCTTTTGGAGACAAAACGCGCGTCTAGCGTACAGAAATCCCGGTATCTACAATGAGTTTATTTGTAGGAAATATTCAGAGAGAGTATTTATCACTTTGATATGCACTTTCAAATACATTTAGTTTTAATTCGTCTCAATATGAGTCGCCTGTCATTTTTTTTTCTTAGTGAAGCCTGCAGTGTCGATAACCATTTCTATAAACTATAGTGTACGAAAAAAGGAAAGGATTGTTAATGTAAAACAGGGTCAACACATGGAATTACAATGTCGAGAAAAAGACAATGCAACCGTAAATGTGGATATATTTTCATGGTTATTTAATGGAAATGCTTTTCAAAATGCAACAAAGAGTGTTCTGTACAACAAAATCAAACCTGAAAGATCTGGACAGTACACCTGCATGGCAAGCAATAAAGCTGGGGAAGATTCTGATACTGTTAATATTACTGTGACCTGTAAGTACGAACTATAATAATTTGTTGATATATATATATTCTTACATTGGTAACAGTTGATTATCGGATTTATCAAATCGAGATACACATGTGGAGCAGGATCTGCTTATCCTTCCAGAGCACCTGAGATCACCCCTAGTTTTTGGTGGGGTTCGTGTTGCTCAGTCTTAGTTTTCTATGTTGTGTTTTGTGTACTATTGTTTGTCTGTTTGTCCTTTTCTTTTTTAGCCATGGCGTTGTCAGTTATGTCCTTATGAGTTTGAATGTCCCTTTGGTATCTTTCGCCTCTCTTAGTAAGTAAATATCGAATTTAAAGTACGAGCCTAGGCAAATACTTTAAAATTCGATAATTAAACAATCGAGTTGCATAAATACAATAATTAACGAGTAATGCTTTGGACCTTGATGACAGTCAACATTTTAACGAAATGTTTTGTATTTACTCTACCAAAAACAATTTATGATAAGGTACTTGGATTCATTTGCGTTTACAAAAATAGATTCGATACTTAAACGCATACGATTGTTAGTTCAATACGATAACATCTGACTCATAAGGATTAACTTCAAATGAAATTAAATATGAGGTATATGTCAATGTTACAGTTACCCGACGAAATCTACATCTCGAAGGCAAAATTTTAAAAAAAATGCTTCACAAAGTATCAAGTTCTTAATCGCCCGCAGTGTACACAAAATTTGGAAATAAATTTAAAAAAAAAATGAAGATCTGTCGTAAGAATTTGGTTAGTACCAAATATTGAAAAGTATTAGCAATATGACATACGATCTCGATTGAATACTGAGAGTTTCAAGAACGTTTGATAGCTTACCTATGTGCACAAAACGTTTTATTAGAATCAATCTTAAAGTACAATTGCATATTCCTTAAGCTGGAAATCTACAATATCCATTAAGCATATATCAATCTAATATTTAAATCACTCCAGTATAAACAAAAGTAATTTGGTCGATTGAATCCTGAGAGTTTCAAGAACGTATGATATCTATCCTATGTTCACAACACGTTTTATTAGAATCAATCTTAAAGTACAATTGCATATTCCTTAAGCTGGAAATCTACAATATCCATTAAGGATATATCAATCTAGTATATAAATCACTCCAGTATCAAGACAAAAGTAATTTGGTCGATTGAATCCTGATGATTCAATAAATTGGCGGGTTGCAGAAGACGTGCTGTGTTATTAAGTTAAACATATTTAAGCTTTCAACACCTTTTTTGAAGTGCTTAGATGTTCAGTTTATTTGTCCCTAAATATGTCAATTTAGACATGCTTATGACATCATAAAGCTATATAAACCTGTTAATTTTAATAACATTTTAATTATACGAATTAATTTAAAATAATTTTCTAATTTTGGCAATTTTACGGGACATAAAATGACTCTGATAATACCTCTTCATTCCGGTCATTTAGATCTTAACAACATCTGAAAAGTCTAAACAATTAATTATAAAGCTATTTTCAGTCTTTTAGTCAATTTGCAGACTTTTCGACTGCGATTAATGCAGTACTGTTCAGAAGCTTTTCAGACAATTCAGTATGTTTTTAATGTGTACAGGTAAATTACAACTACTAAAGAGTCTGAACATAGACTGAACAGATCTTAATTGACTGCAGGCGAATTACTTATTAACGTATTGCTCAGTCTTTCAAGAACTGTTAAGACCAAAATTACCGTTTCAGATCAAAATTGGTGTATTACTGTATGACTCGATCATGTCTGTTATAGCAACCAAAATTAATTATTTGAACGTGACAAAATCAATTGTGCTGAAGTTTTGGATGTAACTATTATGCCCATATGCGTGATCGTATTGTTATGGGTTATGAAAGTCATTTGGGTAATAATTGATATTTCGAATTTTGAATCTTGTACCCGGAATCAACTTTTTTTATTGTAATTGTTTTCTCGAGCAAACAAAATATTGTTTTAATCACAGATGGTATTATCAGAAAAAAGTTAAATCACAAAAATACTGAACTCCGAGGAAAATTCAAAACGGAAAGTCCCTAATCAAATGGCAAAATCAAAAGCACAAACACATCAAACGAATGGACAACAGCTGTCATATTCCTGACTTGGTACAGTCATTTCAGATTATATACTTTATTCTCATATAATTGTGGTATTTTTTTTATTGTCAAAAGGCCTCTCTGAAAATTAAATAGTAATCACGGATTAATCTTAACTAAAATCGTTGAGTATGTCCTTGCTATATTGAGGTGTAAAATGCCCCCGATATTTACCGTTTGGAAATACTTCATTCGAAACTTGACCTGTAAAATTGAAAAGAAAAACTGTAAAGTTGAACGCACGTACTGTTAGGGTAATTACAAACATGTTGCACCATATAAGAGCATAATATCCTTCAGAAAATGGCGAGACCGACTCTCCAAAATTAGACACACAAGTGACTTCAAACATGTCTACTCTTGGTAAATTTGTTGTCTTTACAATTACAAAATATAACTGTTGTTTGGTCGGGTTTGACTTTGTTATCATTTATTTCAACCAGAACCTGTATTAGATTCATTGCGTTTAACTGTGGTTCCTTTTGTAACAACCTTGGTTCAATGCAAATGTTCAGTGTTTACTGTTTTACATTTCATTAAGTAAAGTTTGAAGCTCAAACACAAATATTTGAGATCAAAATAAAAAATACTAATACAAGTATAACCATCTGATGTCATATAATATATTTATTATACTTTTTTCCAAAATTCAAGTTTCAAAACAAGTTCAGATGTCACACGCTCTACATACATATGATGAATGCAGCAATTATCTTTAGTTAGTGAATTCAAAAAGGAATTGTCCTTTAGTTTTGGAGGTCTCTCTCTTGTTTTAATGTACTGTCCGCTGAGTGCAATAAGATGAGATAAAAAGATTAATTGCCATGGTATGAAGAATGAGAAAACCATTTATCTATGCAGGTAGTCCACCTTCGGTGATTTACATTTACTCATGGAAAACCGGGGTCATCAGTAGTGCCGCAGTTGTTGGGTGTCTGCTTTTCTTGTACGGATTGAAAGGTAATACATATAAACTCATCATAGATACCAGGACATTCTCATTAAAAATTGTACTGAATACTGAATTATATAGCAATTTGTTTTAAGCTTGTAATTTTTTTACACGTTACACACTAATACTAAACATCAGAGTAAACTGCAATTTAAGGCAAAAATGCATGATTAATGTCTCTCTGTCTCAGTAATAAATAATATGTGGGAAGTAAACAATGTGAAACCAATTGAGGCAAATTCTTAAATAACTTAAAAACGATATATATGATTATATCTAAATATACATAGAAGTCATCGATTGTCCTTTAAGCTTACAATTTTTTGGAACATTATTAATACGATTCGGAAGTAATAACATTATTTTGATAGATAAATGTATACGTTCTTATATATATAACAAATAAGAATTAAATCTATATAATTGTATGTGCAAAACACAAAACATGACGTTACCAATCTGTAAAAATAAACATGATTGTCATTTCAATATTTATTTTCCAGCTCTGGCAAAAAGGTTGTGCTTGAACATTGCTAACAATAGGTATACTTCTGTAAAACTCACGAGCATGTCATAACAGTCTTTTGGACATCTAATTTTATTAACCTTTCTTACATTAAATATCCTAGTTTTCTTACTAAGTATCGAAGTTCATAATTTCAATGTTACATAAAAGAGACAAAATGACAATAATTATTCCAATATATACCTTGTACATTTGTGAAGATCTTACATATTCAGAAAATTTTGAGAGAAAAATAAGTTTATGCGACGTGTTATTACAAAAGGATGCAGTCCTGGACTGTACAGCAAAGTAATTTGATAAACACTTATTTTGACAGGTTAAAGTTAAACTTTGAGAGGTTAAACTAAAACTGTGACAGATTATTAAAGGTAAAACCGAGACAGGTTTGAGGACTTTAAAAAATGCTTCCACAGCTAGGACCAAAATCAATTTAACTTAAAGACCAGACTTAGTCATAGGAACGTTTTATTGGCCGAAAAAGTTAACTTTAGACAGGTCAGCTCTTGAAATTAAGTTTGAAACCTGTCCTGCTCAAAGTTAACTTCAACCGGGACAACTCCAATTGAACCAATCTTATAAAAAAAGTAAACTTTTAGATGGTCTGCTCAACAGTGAGATTACTTGCGACCAGGACAGCTTTAGGTTGATTGATAAAATATTTTAAGATGTCTTTGTATCTCGATACAAACAATGCAAATAGAATGAATGATAATACATAAGTGATAAATAATTGGAGAGTAAGTATACTTGAGTTTACCTATAGACAAGTATTCCGATGTAACTCATTTTTACTTGTTATGCTTCAAGTTTTTGTCAATGCCGTCCCTCTTAAAGACTCACTTTGGTTGGATTCAAATCATTTGAGATTACATTCTATACTCTTCGAGATATGTTTCTGTTTCATGCATACTTAAATGACTCGTAGCTTTCTGCTGAAATTGGTATTCGAAAAACAGTTTCTTTTAGCCAAAATACTACATCTACATTCTGTCGTCTAGTGCAGATGCCGCAATAGATGTTTAAATTATGTGAATTTATTGTCTTGTTTACTATATGTATTTTATCAACTATTTATTCAAACCCTTATCAAATATACCATGTTGCCGTAAGGCCAATTTTCATTTTTTTTGTTTCATGTGTGAGGATTACTTGTTACACTACAAGTACATACTAAATATTTGGTTATACAATTTATATGTTTTTATACCTTTTAAATGATTAGCTTGTTTTGATTATAATATCTTCATCAGTCGTTCTGAATGTACTAGGAATGTTTGATTTTAACATTTATATCACGTAATACCAGATTAAAAGTAGTCACTACTCATTATGTTCTGTGCTGAAATACACATGGCACATAAACCATCACTAAAAATCATTAAACACAATGTATTTCTCGTCAAACAATTTAGTTTGTAAAAGTCTTGATTGTTGGAGACAAGCCAACAAACAAACTTGTTGTTGTTTATTTGGTCGCTGAAGGACAGTTGTTTTATTGGCAATCAAACCACACCTCCTTATTCTATATTTGTAAAAAAAAAATACCACAAAAGGCTGCATATTTGATATTTAAGGATTGAAATAGTGAAATGACAAACGGTTAACTGTTATAAAAGTAATTATATGCATATTAGAATATATCTAAATACAAACATTGAACATCGTTAAATTCACAAGTTTTCAATTTGATTGTAGAATCAATGGAACACAAGGCAATATAACAATACCGGAAACAAGTGAAACTCAGTACGATGAAATAGATGGTGCGTATTACAATTCATCGAATATCAATGGTAGACCTGAGCTTACATTACACAATGCAAATATCGAGACACTCCTGTCTTCAAGCAATGGTAGAATCGTAGAGAATATAACTGCTAACAATGCTGGTACAGGGTATTACCATCACGAAATAATTCCGCCTAGCAACGATTTAAACATACATAGATCCAACAACGCTTCCTCGAGGTCGTCATATGATGATTCGTATCTTGTTCCTTGTCGAAAATACATTAACCTGAAAATTGACTTCAATGATGAAGACAGTCATCGAATAAGAGAACCAGACAATCTTGATGACGGTTTATCTGCTTCAAACAGCGAAAGTAGTGAAACATATATTAAAAGTGATCAACAATACGAAACACTGGCTGCAACAGATACTGTTGAACATTCTTATGAGAGTCCAATTGCAACATATTGACTATATGTTAAGTTTATACATTCCATAGTATTAAGAATCCTTGTAGTGCAAATTGGAATTCCAATACCGACATTTAGAAATTTCGCTTTATTTTTTATTAAAATTCAGAACAAATCAAAAGAAATTGAGATATCCATATTATTTCTAGAACGATCCTGGATTGTACTTAATAATCACTTAAAAAGACATCATTATACCAATATTTATATTTTCTTCCTAATAAAATAAACTTACAATAAAAATTGTCTGCATTCAAATGAAAAGATATAGGGCCAGTTGCCGTTGTATTTATATCACAACTGAACCTTTTCTTAAAGTCTTTCAAATTTTACTATAATTCATAGTACTATAGGTTCATATTTGCACTTAAAGATCAAACTATAGATACCTAAAGATAGTTCAAATATTCAATTTTGACAGATTTGGACAAAATAATTATCTATCGGACACCCTTAACCAAAACAAAAGTTTTATTGGAAGTTTTGCTAAACACTTTTTTGTCTTAAGAATAATAATGTCCTTCTATGCAAAGTTGACAAAAATAGGCAAGAATTAGTAACTTTTTGATTCTGAGGAAACAAATTATTGATCAATTTTGGAGCATATTAGATAAGACTCTTTATTATAGAATTTCATCAGAATTTTAAAAAGTTATGATTTGACTTTTTGAGTAAGACAAATATATGGGAAAATTGCCCTGCATCTTGCTCGTAAACAACTTTTTTTAGTACCCGTTTAAAAAAAATGTTTTGGTGAGTAAATGTGGTAAATCAGAACAAACTCAAACATATTTGATACAAAATTGTCAGTTGCAAACAAGTTACAAAGGAGGGAAACAATTGTGACCGTTAAGAAAGAAACACTCTGTAATGTTCAAATGTGTTCATGCAAAAGCAATCAATGTACTAAAACCTAACTTCAGAAAGTATATACTATTTTAGTGAAAAACGGCATTTCAGTTTAATTATTTCAAGACATTCCTTTCGAAGAAAATTGTAAATTATCTGCAACCATGTGAATTCATGAAAATCAGATTCTAGAACGATTAATAACGTTAAATAATTGTTATTCAGAAAACGATCATTTAACTTACGTACAATTGGTTTCCGAGTTATTCATTGAATATGTGTTGGTCTGGAAAAGTTGATATATTCAAGCATTTGTTGTTCATAGTGTAAATCCAAAATTGTTTGTTTCTCAGAATGCCATAAACAACATATTAGCGAATTCTATAATAAATAAACCATTTTATTAAGATTATTAAAGTTTCTGTACGTTATCAGATTTGTTTTTGTAATAAAAGAATTGATAAATTTTAAGGTTTGTAAAACAAAATGCTTATTTATTTACTTATTAGAAAAACATTCTCCTATGTTCGGTATCAATGGATTATTTGAAATTTTAAATAACAACCAAATAATATTCATATTGTGGAAACACACGAAACTGAGGTTGCTATAGTGACGAAACGAAGTCGGTGACCCCCAATTTTTTTCATCATATTTTATTCCTAAAATCATGAAATACCTTCACTCAAAATTGTAATACAAAATCACTGGTAAAAATAAGTAGGCAGTTTGGTCTTTAAGTACGGATTTTTAAACACACTTACCAATTGCATTAAAATTTTCTTCCTGACATAGTCTAGAATACTGCTTAACAATGGTTGCTGGGGCTAAGCATCTTATAACATATGGGGTTTGAATAAGTTCTCCAGATGATAAAGTCAGTTTTTCTTTCCCAGTGGCAAGTCCTTTATGGCATGGCTTGATGTGATGAAGTCTAAAAAGTGTTACAGTTTGGCATCATCCACTCTCCTTCCTGTCTGTTTTTTTTATAACAGGTGCCCCCACTCCAAACTCTTTAGCATGTTTCTTTGCTGAATAAAATTTGTGGCTCGTCACACAGATAGAATTTTTTAATTAATGTCCTCAAGTCTAGAGCTGCTTGCTAAGATAGAGAGTATCTGACATCTCACTGTTGAAGTCTCTGCCCTCATGTAGCTTTCTACAAGAGCATCAATAAATTGTGGAGAATCAATCCTTGTCATATTGTTTTCCAGTTTTGAAAACATATTCTCTTTTAATTGTTCACTTTCTCCTGGGCACATTGTCTCTAAAAGAAGAGAAAGGCATTCATTTGCTTTTTCTTCTTTGTGTCCTCTCACTTGAAGCATCTAATGGCTCTCTAATTGTTTTTACTGGGCTTGTGTTACACGCTAGACAAAAATTCATTAAGCTTTCCAAGACGATCAATGTTAGCCACTGAAGCCTCCGATGCTTAGCTGTTTTGACCCTGCTGTGTTTCCTGACTGGATAAATTGCTGTCCTGAAATTATAAGGCACATTATAAATGAAAATCCATAGTTGATTTACTGTGAAATCTCACAAAACACTAACAATAATGAACAGTTCCAAAACATTTTCCTAAAAAATTGATATTATTTTTTAGTGTCTGTTTTGTTTATTAGTAATCGCACTATGGATCTGTTCCTGTATTACACGACCAAAAAAACTACATATCATTACATATCAATCTTGAATTGCAAACTGCACATATGATTTTCATATGTAGGGTTACATATGATATATGATTATTATATGACAATAAACTAAATATGATTATCATATGTAAATCATATGACCGTATAAGCACATATGAAAATCATATGTTGCAATTTACATATGATTCTTGAATTCTATGAATCGAGCCACATACATTGTTTGATAATTATATGTAGCAATTTTAATAGTGTGCATGTTTTTGGATTAATCCCTTTCATACGGTTGTTTCGGCATTCTACTTTCAATTTTGTAGGTCGATCTAGAGACACATCTGTTATCTATGTCTGAATCAGTGTTCATTTGAATTGTACTTTCACCTGAGCCTACACAAAAGTGTTTTAGGTCAGTACAATCCAAATGTTGACAATATATAAATAACAAAGTACAATACTAATAGTTGAGGATTGTTTTCAATATTAGTTTAGTTTTTACAAATTATAACATGGTCTGATGCAGTTTACAAGTCATTAACCGGATGATGGTTTTATGAAATTATGCAAATTGTCCCAAACCAGGCTATACATATAGAATATGAATTAAATTAAAAATTGTAAAAAATGCTAGTAGGGCTAAACAAAATAAATAGTATGTTTATCGAGCACCTCCCGCATAACTGAATACAAAAGTTTTCACAATGGTTTTGTATCTCCATATTTCATTGTAAAATTTCAAAATTGAATATATGTTGTACTAAATTTGAATAATATCAATAATCAACCAATACTAGTAATCATGGTGGAATCTATTTATGTGGTCACTTTAAAAAGCATTTTTTTAATTTGACTATACAATGTAACATCCATGGTAACTAATAAATGCTTTGTACATACATGTACATGTTTATAATATTCATAGCTGTGATCAGGTCTTGGTCTCAAAAGAATCCGTCAGATGATTCTGTTTGTTGTTGCAGTGGCTCCTCAGTTTGACTGTTTGAAAAAAATGTACTTCGTTTGAACAAGTTATAAACATTTAAAGTCGTATTACAGGTTTTCTGCTTTAACTAGACCATTCAAGTTACTTAGTTATGCATATGAACAGCTTTGTGTCTTTCATAAAACCTTGGTGGATTTCTGTTGTCTTTAAATGGAAAAAAAATCCTTAAATACATGAACATTTGTTCACAATCCTCCATCCGTTGATTTAAGATCTCATCATAGTTTGAACGGTACTGAAGTGTCATTCAGTCACTTTTGCCAGAATTCTTCTCAAACCAGTGCAACGTGCACGTTTGATTTTCCTGTTGGGTATGAGTAAATTTTTCGCTGTAGGTCTCGCACCAGAGGCAGATGAACAATAAAAGTGTTCCTCTTTTGTAATGTTTTTTTTTCTGTATAGCATACATTTGTACTGTTTGATGTACATTTACTCAATATCTTTGCATTCCACACATATATACTAATACCATACAAATTTATGTTGTAATTTTATACAATAATACTTACTTCTTCAACCGATTGATTAATATCCGTTACTATAGCCATCTCTGAAGATTTTTCATCTGCATGATGTACAGATAGCTATAATATAAAAAGAACTACGATACAAGATTGAAATTTACTATTTACATTTGAACTGAGATCGTTATATCATAGTTGTAACAACAAAAACTAGAGTCACCCAGGAGCCTGTAACGCACACCTGGGTACATTTTGCATAAGGTAAATAAGAATGCTAATAATTGCCAAACTAAATTTATAGTGATAGCAGCACAGGGACAAATTCGCCCCATCAAAATCTGAAAAAAGTTATTTAAAATGTTCTACATCAAAATGAACGAAAACACCCAATTTGGCCCTTTTTTATAATCGGCGGAGCCAAAATACCCAAAACCTATACCAGCCTTCCTATTGTGCCAAGGAACAATTTTTATAATTTCATAAGGATTGGTCTTTTGGAACTAAAGTTATTGACTGGAAACGAAGTGACCACAGACGCCAAAGACAACAACTGTGCCATACCATAATACGACCTAAAAAAATTTTTGCCGTCGTATAACAACTGCATCAAAATTGGACTCCCAGGGAATATTTTTTATATGGAGGTACCATCCTTTGAAATTTGATTACAGTAAATTAACAAGTAATAAGGATATCAGTGATTTCAATTCCAAAGTGAAAAAAAAATATATATTATTTTTGACGTTCAAAGTTCTGTAACTCTGGAAAAGAAAAATTGTTGACAAAAAAAAAAAAACGAAAGGAAAGTGTTTTCCATCATACCCAAAAATTCTTCAAAGTTTCAAGAAAAAATATCAATATGACGTGTGGAGGAACGGAGGGACAGCAGACATGTGTATACCATAAACATCTGATTGATAAGATTTATTAATAGATTCAAGTACTTCAATGTGTCACTTTTTACCAAAATCAAATTCATTTATTTACCAGGATCTTTTTATTTATTTTTGGATGTTTAATCAAGAGACACAACTATGCAATTTTAATGCAACTAAGTGTACAAGCATTTGAATACACTAAACCAGTACATATTTTTTATTCATAATAATTACCTGAAATGTCTAATTAAAACCTCATTTTATTAATTTTCTAATTTGGCAATTAACAAGGCAACAAGTCATTAACTTAAGGTCATGCAACTGGTGTCACTGTTAAAAACTAATAGATTATTAAATAGAATTTTTCATATCACATCCAATATCATCC